AGAGTGACTGGGAGCTAGAGTCCAAGGGGGGAGCCCCACACCTTTGTGAGGTTTTGTTTTTGGTGTTTGTTTGTTTTTGGTACTGGAGTTTGAACTAAGAGCCTTGCAATTGCTAGGCAAGTGCTATACCACTTGAGCCATACCCCCAGCCCTTTTTCCTTCAGGTGTTTTTGGAATAGGATCTCATGTAGATGCCTGGACTGTGACCATCCTAATTCACACTTCCTGCACAGCTGGTATGGCAGGTGCACACCACCACATCAATTGTCAATTTTTATTGATTGAGATGGGATCTCACTAACGCCCCCATACATACTGGCCTCCACCTTTGTTTTCAGCCTCCTGAGAAGCTAGGATTTCACCACACACAGCTCCTTGGTAAGTTTTACATACAGGAATCACTTAGTTCTCATGGTGAAGAGCCAAGAAAGATTCCTTCCTGAATTCCTGTATTTGGCAAAAATACAACATTCATACAGTAAATAATCTCTCAGTAAACAAGAAACAGAGAATGTTCTCACCTTGACAAAGAACATTAGAAAAAACCTACAGCTAGCATTAAGCTTAGTAGGTGAATGCTTTCCCACCAAAATCAAGAATAAGGCAAGGATGTCCTCTCTCACGACTTCCGTTCAATATCACACTGAAAGTCGTAGCTACTACAATATGACAAGAAGAAATTAATGCACGCAGATTGAAAAGGAAAGAATACAACTAATTAACAGATGCCATGACTGTCTTGGTACAGAACCTCCAATTATAGACAGAGACACAGACAAAAAGAGAAGGAAAGGAACTCCAGGAACTTACAAGCTGGTATAGAAGATCTCTAATGTAGTAACATCATTTGCTGTCTTACAACTGCTCCCAACAGTGTACAAGTGAGAGTCTGAATATGTATTACCACTTATATAAAATACATATGTAACTTATAATAGCATCATCTGAAAAAAGAAATACTTAGGAATAAACGTAACAAAATGTGTAGGGGACCTGTACGTGCAAACTACAAACTCTGATGAAAGAAATCAAAGAGGAGCTAAATAAGCAGAGAGACACTCTGTGTAAACGAATTTGATTGTTAAGATCACATTTTTGTCAGGCACCCATGGCTCACACCTGTAATCCTAAGAAATCAAAGAGGAGCTAAATAAGCAGAGAGACACTCTGTGTAAACGAATTTGATTGTTAAGATCACATTTTTGTCAGGCGCCCATGGCTCACACCTGTAATCCTAGTGACTCAGGAAGCAGAGATCAATCAGGAGGACCGCAGTTCAAAGCCAGATGGGGAAAAAAAAAAAAAAACAACTCAGCAAGAAAACAACCAACCCAATTAAAAAATGGACAAAACATCTGAACTCAGACCTTATCAAAAATCTACTGAACAAAAGCAAGCATAAACAAATGTTCAAGCTGTGTTGACAGTGGCTCACACCTGTCATCTTTCCTACTTGGCAGGCTGAGGATAGCGGTTTGAGGCTAGCCTGGCAAATAATTCATGAGATCCCATCTCCAAAATAAGCAGAGCAAAACAGACTGGAAGTGTGGCTCAAGCAGTAGAGCACCTGCTGTTCAAGCACACATGAATCCCTGCAGAGTTCCAACCCCAGGCCCACCAAAAGAAGAAAGTGCAACATCACTTGTCAGTAGGGAACTGCAAATAAAAATGAGACACCACTACAATCCTATAAGAATGGGTTAAAATTTAAAAAACTCAACAACATCAAATGCTGATGAGGCTGTGGAATAATAGAAACATTCACTTATTGCTGGTGGAAATGCAAAATGGTACAGCCACTTTGGAAGACAGTTCTGCATTTCTCACAAAGTTACACAGAGCTTACCATTGCTACAGCTAGCAATCACGCGCCAAAGTATTTATGCAGCTGGTCAGAAAGGTGTGTGCATAAAACCTACCTGTGAAGCTGAGTGTAGTTGTGCACACTTGTAATCTCTAGAAGATGAGGCAAGAAGATTGTGAGTTTCTGGGCTAGATAGTGAGACACTGTGTCAAAAAATGAAACAACAATAAAAACAAAACAAACAACAAACAGCTGCCTTTGAATGCTTACAGCAGAAACTGAAAGCAACCATCAGATTGGTGAATGGATAAACAGGTTATGCTACATCCATACAATGGAACATTATACAGCCAGAAAAAGAAATGAGGTGTTGAGACTGCTGCTGTCCATCAGTGGTAGGGCACTTGCCCAGCATGGACAAGGCCCTGGGTTTGACCCCCAGCACTGCAAAAATTTAATAAATAGATAAAAGATGAGCAGCTGTCAAAGATAAGCTCACCTGGATATTGCAGCAGGAATCTCCAACTGGGGGAACCAGCAGAGCCCAGCTCCAGCTTAGGTAGGGGTGACCTGTCCCTCCCGCCAAGGCATTTTGATGGCAAGGCATTTGATGGTGACTGTGTCACCCAGTGGCATTCTTCCCGATACAGCCTGGCCATCAGCCTTCCCACGATGTGACAAAATCCCCACTAGAGGAGGAGCGGCTCAGCTGGCTGGTTTTCTGGTCACCTGACCCTGTGGCTTTGGGACTGTGGCAGAGCAGCACATCATACTGGGAGAAACCTGTCCCAACATGGCAACAGCGGGAAACAGAGGAAGAGGCAGGAAGGGGCGGGCCTGTAATATTCTCTTGGGAGGCACGCCCTGTGACCTCACTTCCTGTCACCTTGGGCCCCCCCTTAAAGGTTCTACAGTCTCCAATAGGGCTGTATGTGGCCTTTCAGGAACACTTCTAAACCATACCAGGGAGTTTGGTCAGAGTTGTGATATGCCAAGTGTTTTACAGTTCTCAAAAGACATGAAGAAGACGTGGATGATTTTTTTTTCTTTTAATTTCCCAGACACTAAGTAATCCAGGCTGGCTTCAAATTGTAGATCTTCCTGCCTCAGCCTCCTGAGTGCCGGGACTTCAGGCACTCAGCACCTCACCTAGATGCTTCATGGAGGAATCTTCAATGCATATTACTGAGTGGAGGAAGACGGGTTTCCAGAACGCAACATACTGTGTGATTCCAACTACACAACATGCGAGAAACAGTGAAGTTATAGGCACAATGATCAATGGCTACCAGAGGCTCCAGGGGAAGGAGGAGGGGTGACCAGGTGGAGCGCAGGGGTTTTTCAGGATGGTGAAACTATACAGCAACTCTTCATGATATTGTAATAGTGATAAATACTTGATGCTATGCATGTGTCAAAATCCATTCAATTTTACAGCACAAAGGTGAATTTTTAAAAAATTTATTTGCCACACTGGAAATTGAACCCAGAGCCTCCCGATTGCCAGGCAGGTGCTGCACCACTTGAGCTACACTTCCAGCCTTTTTCGTTGTTTTGTTTTTAGGAGACAGGCTCTCAAACTCATGATCTTCTCGCCTCAGCCTCTGAAGTACTGGCATCACAGATGCCACTGTGCCTGTCTTCTTCAAATTTTATAGCAGGCTGGGGAACTCCAGAAAGGAATGCAGAATGTGAGAAAATAATCTAGCTGTATTACAAATATATACAACAATGTCATTGAAACCTCAAATTTTATTAGAAAGCGTTAAGAGGCCACTTAAGCAGTGGCTCACACCTGTAATCCCAGCTAATCAGGAGGCAGAGACCAGAAGGTTCACAGTTCAAAGCCAGCCCAGGCTCAAAAATGTTATCAAGACCCCCATCTCAACAAACAAGCAAGGTATGCATGAAGATATGCATGAAGTTTAAGTAGGAGGATGGAGTCCAGGCTAACCCCTGTCAAAAACACAAGACCCTATCTAAAAAATAAGGTGAAAAGGGCTGGGGCCACTTCTCACGTGGTAGAGCACCTGCCTAGCAAGTGCAAGGCCCTGCGTTCAAACTCCAGTACTGAAAACAACAAGAACAACAAAAGGTAGATAGAACATAGAGTAAGACCCAGCGTCTTGGTTTTTGAGACGGTCCAGGCTGACCTCAAACTCAGGTATTACTCCTGCCTCCGTCTCCGAAGTGCTGGAAGGCTGAGTAGCTGGGATTACAGGCTCAAAACTTAGAAACCCAAAATGCACGTTCCTTTCAACACATTCGGGGTATGCACAAGAGGTGATCATCTCCTGGGACCTAAGGCAAGTCTTAAATACTGAAGAAGTGGGATTGGGCAGATCTGAATCCCAGTGCCTCTGGGTTTGCCACAGGCGCGGGACATCTCTGCCCATCTCTTCAGTCTGTGTTGCAAAAGCAAGCCAAGCAGCTGCTCCAAGGCTCAGACTCTACACTAGGTGATTGCTGTGTTCCTCCCCCAGAATATTCAGTCCCTTGAGAGGCTGCCTCTTTCCCCAGATAAAGCCTGTCGGGTATGGGGTTGAGGCAGGAGAGAGACCCTGGGAGAAGCAAGAGATGCCTCTCCCTGTACCCCAGTTTAGGGACTCTCTCTGCAGCCTCTGTTCAGTCACTTGGCTGGGGATACACACACACACACACACACACACACACACACACACACACACACGATCACACACACACACACACACACACACACACACACACACACACACACACACACACACACACACACACGATCTCCCTGGGCCCCAACCGACATCCAGAGAGAGGGTTAAGGGTGGCAGCAAGGGGCCGGGTGATGAATGCACCCTCCAGATCCTACAGGCCAGCATGGGGGCGTTGAGGGGGTCGGGGGAAGGGACGTTTAAGCTGGGTTTCTTGGTTGCCTGCAGATGAGAAAAGCTGGTGCGCAGCAGTAGAGGAGGCGAGGCGAGGATTCGATGTTAAGACGCGGAGCAGGGTCAAGAAGCCCACGGAGGGCGGGGCCCCGTGGGCGTGGAGGGGCGTGGCCAGGCGGGGCGGGGCGGGGCCGGGCGGGGCGGGGCCAGGCGGGGCGTGGTGCTGGGAGCGGGGTGCGGGCGGCGCTGCGCACGGGCCCTGGCGGTGGCGCGCGGCTGGCGGGGGCTGCTATTTCTGTCGCCGCGGGCCGCGCCGGGGGCGGGGGAGGGGACAGGGCACGGGGAGGGGAGGCCGCGCCGCCATATTCGCTCCCGCCCGCGGCCAGCGGTGCAGCCAGCATGAGCACCGCCGCCTTCCACATCTCCAGCCTGCTGGAGAAGATGACGTCCAGCGACAAGGACTTCAGGTGCGCCCGATTCCCCTCCCCCCACGGGAGCCCCGGGGTCCCCCGCCCCCTCTCGGGCCTCGTCCCTCCTCTCAGGTGCTCAGCGCTGGGCTCCCCCGCGTCGATGCCCCTCATCGAGCTTTCAGCCTCTCCTGGGGGATCACAGCTCTGTCCCCCATTGAAACCAGCCCTTTCCCGGGACCACTCCCTCCCTTCTGATGCCCCCAGCTCTGTCCTGTCTGCAGGTCTTCTTCCACGCCGCCCTTCCCTCTCTCTCTCCTGTCCTCTCCACGTGGCCCTCCACGCAAGGTGGGCTGTGTAGGGTGGGGGCTTCTAGGTTCTGTACCACCTGCCCCCCCATACACACATCCTTTCTTCTCTGTCCCCTTCTCCCAGCACCCTAGAACCACCAGAACACAGCTGAAAAGAAGGGTGGGAAGATCTGGTACAATCTCTCATCCTCAGGGGAAACTGAGGCCCAAGCAAGAGAAGGGATTGACCCACAATCACACCTGTTCTTGACCCTCCAAGCAAACAGGAGAACTTACAGAGCATTATAGCCACACCCCCTTGTTGGAGGTTCTGTGACTTTGCCTCCTTGTACAGATAGGGAAACTGAGGTTCAGAGCTGTCAAGGGCCTAGGTACAACCACAAAGATAGGAAGTGGATGGAGGGCCTAGAGTCCAAGTCCAGCTCAAGTACAGAAGTAGGGGTCTTAGCCAGAGCCTCTGAATCCAGCTCACAAAGCAGGCGGTCTACACCTGAGCCACAACTCCAGTACATTTTGCTCTGGTTATTTTGGAGACTGGGGGGTGGGGGGAGTCATCTCATTAACTATTTGCCCTGGCCGTCTTCAAACCATGACCCTCCTGATCTCAACCTCCCAAGTAACTAGGATTACAGGTGTGAGCCTGGCTTACCCCTGCTGTCTTTTGAAAGCTATTCCTCACACCCCTCAAGAGGTCCCCCTCTGTGGTAAAGCCTTGGAGCCCTGGTCCTGGCTTCAGATCCTGTTTCCCATGACTTACTGGCTGTGTGATCATGGACAAGTTACTTCACCCCTCTGAGCCTTAGCTTCAGTTTCTGTAAAACGGTAACAGAGCCCACCTGAGAGGGTTGGTGCAAGGAGGAAGTGAGGAAGTACCTTCGATGTCCTTAGGTCAGTGGCCAGCACAAGGAGCCTGTCACACCCTCTGGCTTCTCTAGACCTGTGTACCTGTGCCTCCCCCTTCTCTGTTGCTCTCACTTAGTTGTCACCTCTTTGGAATATCTTTGGACCCCACACAGGATTAGGCATCTCCTACCATGTTTCTGTCATGTCACCTTTGGACTCGGGGGACCCTGAGCTCCTGGACACTGGGATGGTGCATTTCCTGTTGATGTGCCCAGTAGGTTTCCAGGGGATGTTTGCTGGGTCCCAGGCTGTTCCTCTTCTCCAGGGGCTTGGAGGGGTGCAGTAACTTGCCCAAGGTCACATGGCCCAGGTCAAGTCTACAGGAGAGGGAGAGGGAGTTGGCTCTGCCAGCTAGGGCCTGAGAAGCCTTTTTGGCCTGTTCCTGCAGAGGTGGCAAGGACACTTAAAACCATCCTGAGCATATGAGAATGGTGTCTATTTTTAAAGTCTGAATACCAGGGGACAAGTCCTGCTGACCAGCTGTCCAGGCGCCTTGTGGCCCTATGTTTCAGCTGAGTTGCCTGTAGGGTATCTCTGGGATGGTTGGAGGCGGGGGCACTTTGGTTTCTGCAGGGGAACAAAGACTGCACATGGGGGTCCCAGTCCGTGTGGGGGAGCCCTGTTCTTCTGGATCCTGGCTTTGTGAGGAGAAGGCTCTATTATGGCTGAAACTCTAACAGAGAAAACCAGTACACTAGTGGGATATGGCAGGAATTTCCAAATAGTTTTTTGAAAACACAATAGCACTGGTTGAGATGGGCCAATTCTCCACCCAATTTGCTGTGCACCCTCTCTGAGCCTAGTTTTCTCATCTGGCTCAAGTAAAGAGCTGATTGTCCATTTGAAACCTCCAAGGATTCTATGAGTTAGGGACAAGAAAACTTCTGTTGGCGAAAAATTACCAACAGATTATACCCCACCAGTATATATTTATACAATGTGGCTTTCTTTCTTTCAGAGCTGGGTGTCTGCAAGAACTCAGGGTGTCTGAAATACAGTGACGTGGTTTAGTTGAATTTTGTTTCTTTTTTTTTTTTGGCATTACTAAGGATCGAACCCAGGGCCTCATGCATGCTAGGAACTCAATCACTGAGCTGTATCCCCAGCCCGGGTGACATAGTTTAGAAGAGTTAATTTCTGAGTTTGGGCCCCCATGTCACTGTTTAGCTCTAAGGTCTGTTCAGCACTGGCTCCCCTCACCTACCCCCAGATCCTTTGCAGATATGTTCTTTACTGAGTCACAGAGATGTGCCTGACGGGTCCCTTCCTTCAGGCTTTCACAGTCTCATGGAGAAATGCTCTGGTGACCACACTTTGATTGCAGAATGAGAAGTGCTGTAACGGCCATGATTCACATCTGGAGATCAGGAAGGTCTTGGTTCAAGGCCATCGCAGGCAAAAAGTTATGGAGATCCCATCTCGATCAATAAGCCTGGCCTGGTGGTACATGGTGTGGTCCCAGTTATACAGAACGCAGTAGGTGGGAGGATTACGATCCAGGCTGGTGCTGGTCAAAAACCTGAGACCATACTTTAAAAATAATCTAAAGCAAAGAGGGCTGAAGGTTGGCCTCAAGTGGCAAAGCAGCTGCCTAGCAAGCTCAAGGTCCTGAGTTCAAACCCCGGTATACCCCCTCCAAAAAAAAAAAAGGTGAAAAGGTGATGTAATGGGGGGGGGGGCAAATTGCTCTGAAAGGATCCTGTCCAGAGGACTCAGTTGTGGTTAGAGTTAAGTGGTCAGAGTCATCCCTGAGGTGGGGACATCTGATCTGGGCTCTTGACAGATGAATAGGAGTTGAACAGGTAGAGTAGAAAGCCAGGCAGGAGCCTGTCTTGAGCTCCTAGGAGCACCGTCCCTGAGTTGTCAGGTCAACTTCAGCAGAAACTCATAAGGCTTAAATCCAAAGCTCCTTAGCCCTACCTTGGCCCAGGTCTGTTGTGCCATCCTCTCCCTGCCTCCAGTCCAGCTTCCTGCCCTCTCTCAGCAGGTAGAGACGGATCCAGCTGTTAAAAATAAGCAGCTGTAGGGCTGGTGGAGTGGCTCAAGTGGTAGAGCACCTGCCTAGGAAGTGTGAAACCCTGAGTTCAAACCCCAGTCCCACCAAAAAAAGCAGCTGTGACAGGAACAGGTGCCTTTCTGGTGACAGGATGCTCTGAGTCACCATGACATCCAGCAGCAAATCTAAGCCTGCACAGATAAGGGCTAGGATCCAGAGGAGGGGTGCTCTTGGTGGACTTGCCTGACAATGGCAGGAAGCAGGACTTTCTTTGGGGCTATCACACTGGGCCCAGCTTCACTGCATCTTCTTGCTGCCCTGTCCTGTTTTTTCCCCCCAGTCTCTACTCTCAAGTGCTGGAAGTGGCAAAGTGGGAACCCTGAATCCGAGAGAGGACAGTTGTGACTGGCTCCTGCCAGTTGCTGCCAGCAGGGATTGTAGGCCCAGGTGTATTTGAATCTTCTACTTCCCGGAGTTATACTGTTTTTTGTATAAACTATTCCAGTTCTCCGATGTTGATAAGTAATTCAACCTTGGAAAACACATTTACAAGTGGGACACAGCCAAGGGCTGCCAGTCCCAAGTCGTCTGCCCTCCCCTCTTCATTTCAGCACGAATGGTGCCCCCATGCTGTCCGGCCGCCCCTGCTCTCTCTGACCTTCCAGCTCAGAGTCAACTCAAAATTCAAACACTGGGAACATCGAATCAGGGTTTTGGCATCAGGCCACTGGGGTGGGTGGGTAAAGCCCTTAGATCTTGTGCCCACCCTGGGTGATTGGGCCATGCCTGAGGAGCAGCTGTTGGAGCTGGTCTCTGCCACAATATGAGCTGTGACTCATCAGCTGGGTCCAGTGCCCAGGTTTTCAAGTGTGACTGGTTGAGTGACTTCAAGTGGTAGAGCGCCTGCCTTGCAAGTGTGAGGCCCTGAGTTCAAACCCCAGTACCACCAGAAAGAAAAAATAATAATAATAAACGTGATTCTTGACCCTGAACATTATCCAGGAACTTGTTAGAAATGCACATCCTTGGGCCCCAACCTGGACCTTGGGCTGAGAAAGTAGGATGGGGTCCTAGAGATATTGACAAGCCCTGCAGGGGCTTCTGATGCTGGCCACAGGCCAAGATTCTCCCTCCACCTGTCTAGCATAGGTGCTTGCCCACACCTGACTCAGTCATAGGCATCTTTTGGTGTTCCCATGCCAGCCGTTGCTGTGAGGTAAGAATGATGTCCTGTCATAATAATGGCAGCAGTGCAGTTTACTGACTGCTTACCCCCTGCACCTGCAACCCCGGGAGGCAGGCTCCCATTTTTCAGACAGGTACCCTAAGGCTCAGAGAGGGGAAGTAATTTGGCCAAGCTCATATTTGCATAAGTGGCAAAAGCCAGGAGCCACATACCCTGAGGCCATGAGTGTGTAGTCAGTGTCCTAAATTATTCCTAGTCTGCCACCCTGTGGCAGTTGGTGTCATGCATGCCTGTTCTCGTGTGCTGCCCACCTTGCTACTCCACTTGCCCTTGAATCCTGGTATGGAGATTGACTTCTGAGGGGAATCTGGGATACTGCTCTGGGAGCTGATAGGCAGCCCTCCCCTCCCCTCAGGTTTATGGCCACTAGTGACCTAATGTCGGAGCTGCAGAAGGACTCCATCCAGCTGGACGAGGACAGCGAGCGCAAGGTGGTGAAGATGCTAATGCGTCTGCTGGAGGACAGGAATGGCGAGGTGCAGAACCTGGCCGTCAAGTGGTGCGTGTCATGTCAGCCAGGACAGGGAAGGGCGAGGGAGACAGCTGCCTGTCATGGGAGCAGAGCTGATCTCAGGGCCCCAGCATCCCAGCAGAGGTGCACAGTGGCTCCGTCTGGGCTCCCCAGACAGACCCCAAGCCAAGGAGTCAAGGCTCAGTTTCTGGGGGAGGTGAACTGAGGAGAAGCAAGGAAGAAAGTAGGGAGGTGTGGTGGGCGGGGAGGGGGAGAGGGCAGTAAAGGGAATGTTACCAAGTGAGGGCTGCTGTAGAAGAGCCGGGCTTTTATCGCACTGGGGCCCCCTACTCCCAGGTGTAGCACAGGCCCCACCCAGGGGGCAGGGAAACTGGGTCATAAAAGGTAAGACTGAGGGGACATGGGATGGAGGGGAGCAGGACGGTGAAAAGGCAGACACCAGAATCTGTGTTTGGATGCACTCCAACATCTGAGGTCTCATTTAGAGCTGCGGTTTTCAACCTTGACTGCACATTAAAATCATCAGGATGGCCAGGCATGGTGGTATACCCCTGTATCCCAGCATTAGGGAGCAGGAGGCAGGAGGATCCGAGTTCAAGGCCAGCCTGGTCTACATAGCAAGATCCTGTCTCAAAAAACAAACAAACAAAAAAAACCAACCTGCATTTAAAAGAAAGTTCCAGGCCTCACCTGAACCCAGTTATCTCAGACTCTGAGGTGGCTCCCAGGAGGTGACAGTGTGCAACAAAGCGAGAAGCAGGAGTCTAGTGCAGCCTGGGGTCGTGTGCAGCTGCAGACCCCATTTCAGGAGATCCAGGCTGAGCCCAGAGATTCTGCAGCCTATCAGCTGCCGGGTGACACTTGATGGTGCTAAGCCTTGGGGAGAAGCAAGGCTCCCAGGCTGAGAGCTCCAAGGGGATGACAGCATCAGCGAGTGGAACCACGCCAGGAAGGCACATTCTCCAGCTCCACCTGGACCTCCACAACCTGTAACTCGGGTGGGGCGCAGCAGTCTGGGTTTTAATAAGTCCTCCAGGGGAGTCGGCTACATCCTCAAGTGAGAGAGCCATTGTTTTGTGCCACTATTGGGCCTACAATAAGATGCAAAACAGGTGCGGGAGGTGCCAGGATCGGTGTTGGCATAGCCAGAAAGTACCTCTTTACCTCTTTTTCTAGCAAAACAGAGGGCACCCTGTTGCACAGGAACCTAGTATGTGTGGCCCCAGAAGCCTGAGGGGACAGAAAGGGCTGTCCTAACTCAGGACCCTCCTCCTTGTCTCCCTTCCTGTCAGCCTGGGTCCTCTGGTGAGCAAAGTGAAAGAGTACCAGGTGGAGACTATCGTGGATGCCCTGTGTGCCAACATGCGGTCGGATAAGGAGCAGCTCCGAGACATTGCTGGCATCGGCCTCAAGACTGTCCTCTCAGAGCTGCCCCCTGCAGCCACAGGTACCCAGGCCTACTCATCGTAGTTTGTGATAAAAAAAAAAAAAGGGCTCAAAGAGGTGAAGGGACTTGCCTCAGGTCACTCCGCTAGGAGTGGTAGAGAACTCAGCTACAGATAGTTTAAATTCAGAGCTCTGTGTCTACTAGGATGCTTCTGGCTGTGAGTAATGAAATCTAACTACTGGCAGATTAAGGAAGTGTGGAAACTTTCCTCCTGCGTCAGCTTCCCGAGTGCTGGTATCCCAGGTGTGCCCCAGGCCACTTCATTTTTGCAGCAGTTCACCTACCAGCCTTTTTTTTTTGGCAGTATTGGGGTTTGAACTCAGCACCTCATGCTTGCTAGGCAGGCGAGCTACTGCTTGAGTCACTCCACCAGCCCTAGTTTTGTATTGTGTATTTTCAAGATAGGATCTCATGAGCTATTTGCCTGGGGCTGGCTTCAAACCACAGTCCTCTTGATCTCTGCCTCCTGAGTAGCTGGGATTATAGGTGTGAGCTGTGACAGGGGCACAGCTCTAGCAGCAAAGTTTTGACAAGGTTTTGAGTTCTCTGTTTGTATCTCTTTTCCTTTCTAAAAAAAAAAAAATGCATTTCCCCAGAAGCTTCCAGAAGGATTTTACTTTTGAAATGAAGTTTAGTTTTTTGTTTTGCTTTGTTTATATATATATATATATATTTTTTTTTTTTTTTTTTTTTTTTTTTTTTGTGGTACCAGGGTTTGAACTCAGGCCTCACACTTGCTAGGCAGGCACTCTACCACTTGAGCTATACTCCAGCTCAGAAGACTTTTACTTTTTTATCTTACTGGCCAGAGCTGGGTCACTTGGCCACTGCTAGCAGCTGGGAGGGTGGGAAAGGAAGGATTTAATGGGGTCGGCTTCCCTAGTGGAAGAGGACAAGGCGGGGGTTGGTGAGCCAACCCAGCATGTCTCCTGTAGTTAGTTCAGACTCTGGGTCCAACCTTGAACTGCTGGAGCCCTGGATTCCCTGGACCCACAGCGTCCTGGGGAATCTGGGCTCAGGAACACAGCCAGAGCACAGGCAAGCTGGAGGTGGAGGCTGCCTTTCCCCCGGCCGGGCTTCACCCTCCCCACCTTATGTTCTGTTCAGGCTCCAAGCTGGCCACCAATGTGTGCCGGAAGATCACGGGCCAGCTCACCAGTGCCATCGCCCAGCAAGACGATGTGGCAGTGCAGCTGGAAGCCCTGGACATCCTCTCCGACATGCTCAGCAGGTGAGGGAGGCCACACTGCGCAGTGAGGAGGGGACACTGGGAGGGACTCTGATCCACGGTGCTGTACACCGTTCTTGTGCTCAGGGCTCCTTCATCATCCAGCAGCCATGAAGGAAGGCTTGGTTGTCACCATGACACAGCTCTGAGAAGCAGTATGGCCTGCCCAAGGTCACGCTCTGCTGAGCACCTACCCTGTGGCCAGAAAACCTGGCAGTGCTAGACTAGCATTGGCTTGGTTATTCCTAGAGAGGCGTTCATGGGCAAGTATAAAACCACGAATGCTGAAAGTGTAGTGGCAAGAATGAGAGCAAGGCCTGTAAGAGCTCACAGGGGGCCCCAGCCTGGCCCCAGAGGCCAAGCCAGCCAGAGGGCAGAGGCATGAGGAGACATGGGGTGCCAGGGCTCGTGCCAGGTGGTTGAGGGCCTGGGCTGTAATGAGGAAGGCAGGTGTGGAGAGAAGATGGGGAGGACTTTGTCTCCTGCTGCTGTTTCCTTGTGCCCTGCGGAGAGGAGAAAGGAGGGGCTTGAACAGGCAGAGGCTACGTAAGCACATTGCCTGAGACAGTCGATACCCCAGGAAGGAGGTCTCCAAAAAGGAGGAGGCTTCCACCTGGCCCTTGGGTACCAAGTTCATGATGTTGTCACAAAAAGCATTTTAGAACACATCAAGGTAGAAACTAAAAAAGTCTATTAGTAAAGCATAGCAAAGATAGAGACAGTCACAGCCCAGTCATTGGTGCGGGCACACCTGGTAACAGGTGCCATGAGTGTTTCAGCATCAGGTATTTATAGCGTAAAAGTGGGTTGGGGGTTGGCTTGAATTCACCTTAGGAAAAGTCCTCACCTCTGTTCTGACACCTGGCATATTTAATCATTCTTACTGTTACGATTGTTACCAATTTTAGCCCAGAGATTTCAAGGTTGGTCCGCTTATTAAATTTGGGTCACTATGACATAGATGTCTGAGCATCCCTTTAAACCAAGGATGGGTCCTGCCAGATGCTCCCTTCAAGACAGGCGTCCACTCTCAAGATAGATATTTTCTTTTATAAACATTTTTTGTGCCTAGAGGAGTCGTTTTCCCAGGTGTTTTTTCTCAGTATAAGTGTCTTTAAGATGTCTTTGTCATTTCCCAGAGTGCACCAATCATTTGGGCGAGCAAGCAAGGTCAGGGTGAGAGAGCTACTCTTTTTTCTTTTTTACTAAATGTTTAGCTTATTGAGAAATGTTGTACTTAAAGCAAAAAAAATAGTGCCTGTGTGCTTTTAATCGAACTATTAATACAGTGTTTACCTGTGAATTTCTGGCTCCTGTTTCTCATGCCTCATTTTCCCCGATCTGCACTGACTCAGGTGCAGGCAGAATAGTATGGGTAATGTAAAGGAGGTGGAGTAGGTACAGAGGCAGCGTCTCTACGACCCCCAGGGGTCTTCTTTAGGAACTGGGGGAGAGGTGGGGGACTGGGGTGATGCCTTCCAGGAGTGAGTGTGTGGGACAGAACGTGATGGATTCCGTTTGGGGCTTGTTGATTTTGAGGTTGCCTGCGAAGCTCTTTTGAGGACAGGTCCTGGGGCCAGGTCTATCCTGCTCATCCTGGCTTGCAGCAAAAGCCCTGTCACATAGTAGGTGAGTAAATAACAGACTATAGCAGCAGGATCTGGCAGGACACAGATAGGAAGGTGAGGTCAGTTAGGACATGTAGAGTAAGAAGAGGAGATGACTCAGGACATTTCTAGGGTGGAAAACCTGGTCAAGAGTGAGAACAGAGGAGCTAAGGCAGGGAACATGCTCTGTTGCTGCCTTTTGTCTTGAACCTGTCTTGAGCCTGAAGCTCAGCTTATGCTACAGGCACTGGGGAGCCATGGAAGGAGTTAAGCAGAGAGTGATCAGGTCAGATGTAGATTTTAGACCACTCGACTCAGTGAAGAGGATGGGCTTAGGAAGGCTGGTATTGAGGCCAACCCTAGATCCCCAGAGAAATCAGGACAGCCCAACTGCAACTCCCATCCCCACCCCCATCACCACTGGACCTTCTCCCCAGGATGGGAGATTGGACCCCTGAGTTCAAGTCCTGGCCTTGCATTTATTTCTCATCTGAGTGGCCTTGAGAAGTCCCTCTGTCTGCTTCCTTGCCTGTAACAATAATTTAATCTGTCCTCACCACTGGAGGACACCGCTCCATTTTCCAAGGGCCACTGGGTTACGGTAATTCCAGGGAGGAGGCCAAGAAAGGGTAGGGAGAGGTGGGGAGCCTGATGTCTCTTTGACCCCCAGGCTAGGCGCCCCGCTGGGCACCTTCCATGCCAGCCTGCTGCACTGCCTGCTGCCCCAGCTGAGCAGCCCACGCCTGGCTGTGCGCAAGCGAGCCGTCGGGGCTCTTGGTCACCTGGCAGCTGCCTGCAGCACCGACCTCTTTGTGGAGCTCGCCGACCACCTGCTGGACCGTCTTCCTGGCCCCCGCGCCCCCGCCAGCCCCCCTGCCATCCGCACCCTGATCCAGTGTTTGGGCAGCGTGGGCCGCCAGGCAGGACACCGCCTAGGTGAGGGGAAGGGGAGGGGCCGGGGGTGGGCCCAAACGCAGGTGCAACTGGCCTTAGTCTGCCTAGTGGAAGTCTCCCTGGGGAGGGGCTTGTACCAGTCACGTCTCTGGCGATATGATCTAGCCCCATTTTGACAGTTCACAACAACCCGTGAGCCAAGTTTAGATTATTTCTAAATTTTATTGGGGATTAACATATATATAATTAACCACACTATTTAAAATGTATACATCAGTACATTTTGACCTTTAGATATACTCAGGAAGCCCTGACCACAATCAAGATGTGATATTTTTCAGTCATCTCCTCAAATTTCCTTGCCCTTCATAGTTCATCTCTCCCTCTGATTCACCCCAGCGAGCCAAGTGAGCAGAGGTTTGTTAAGTAGGGAAGAAAAGCTGTACAGGAGAGGTCTCAGAAAGGTGCAGCCCCAGTCTCAGACTCCTTGATAAGAGTTCCAAGCTAGTGCAAAGCAGTACAGGTAGACTCAGCCTGCAGTCAGCCCCCTCCAGCCCTGGTTCTCACTGCAGGAGGCTTTGCTAGCCTGGGATATGCCCCACCCAGTGCACATGTCACTCTGGGTCTAACCCCCCCCAAATGAAGCCACTCCTTGGCCACCCTTGGAAGTGTGGCCCTGGGAAAGAGCCCTGCACAAAGGCTCTGGATGGTTGAGCAGGAAACTGTGCGGTCCCAGGTATCCAAAGTAGTGTCTAGAAAAGACATATGAGAAGTACAGGGGGGTCCCTTCTTGTACTGTGGGGAGGGTTGTAGCTACCAAGGGTCCAGGTGGGATATTTTAAGGGCTGGGGACCAGTGGGGACCCCTTTTGCCAGGTCTGTGAGGGCAGTACTGCCTTCCCCCTTCTCCCATCTGGAGGTTTATCCCAGTGCAGGAATAAGGCAAGGTCCCAAACAATGGTTCGACAGCATATGGTACTTACTGAGTGCCCGCTCTGTGCAGAAACCTGAGCTAAGCTCTAATGACATCCTCTCTCATTCATCCTCACAAAATTGCTGCCAGCAGGCATCGTTCCCCATACTGTGAAGATAAGTAGACTGAGTCAGTAAGTCTTGTGACCTCCATCTAGGTGGCACTTGGGGCTAACCCCACATCTGCCTGCTCATGAAGCCTGAGTTGAGTTTGAAGTGTCCAGGACAGGCTGAGTGCTATGGGATGGGGGACCACGGGATGGTCTGGCCATTTCAGTGACCCCATGGTCCTGCAGGGGCCCACCTGGACCGTCTGATGCCCCTGGTGGAGGACTTCTGCAACCTGGATGATGATGAGCTCCGGGAGTCCTGCCTCCAGGCCTTTGAGGCCTTTCTGAGGAAGTAGGTGAAGTGGGGGTGGAAGTTGGGCCCCCAGAGTTCTTTTGGAATTTGGTGGGGACGGGGGACAGGGTGCCAGCCTCAAAACAATAAAGTCATAGGACTCACCCTTGGGCCCACCCTGTCCAGCAGCACCTCCCCATCCTGCCCCACAGGTGCCCCAAGGAGATGGGCCCTCATGTGCCCAATGTGACCAGCCTCTGCCTCCAGTACATGAAACATGACCCCAACTACAACCATGACAGTGACGAGGATGAGGAACAGATGGAGACTGAGGACAGCGATTTCAGTGAGCAAGGTGGGTGGACAGCCTGTTGTGGGTATTGGAGATGGAGAGGGGCATGGCCTTCCCAGGATACCCCAGCCAAAGATGGGATATATCTGGGCCCATGCAATGGCCGGCTCATTTGAGACCCCATCCCCCCATCCTGAACTGTGCAATCACAGGAAGGAAGGTGGGACAGCTGGTCCTTTGTGTTTGTGGGTTCTGTGTCCACATACTCAACCAACCGTGTATCAAAAATGCTTAGAAAAAAATCCCATCTATACTGAACCAGCACGGGCATTTTTTCTCCCAAAACAATACAACTATTTTTCTCTAATTGGCTCCAACTTTTAAAGTATTTTTTAAGTCTTTGATCGATCATACATTAATAATATGAGGGCATTTCATTGTGATAATTCAATACATGCGTACAGTGTCCCTTGAACAAGTTTACCGATAATATTCTCATTCTCCCTTTCTCTCTCCCCCTTCTTTCAAACAATGTTTGGTGGGACAACTGTTATATAGAATAACAAGTTTTCATTGTATTATATCATTTATTATATTATAACAGCTATGGTACAGTGTGACAAGTAACTATTTCCGTAGCTGTACATCGTACCAGTGTTACGAGTAACGTGGAGATGGTTTGAGGTATAGGCAGTACGGGTGTAGGGTCTATACAAATATTAAGCCGTTTTATAGAGGTGACTTAAGCATTTTTAGATTTTGGCATCCAAGAGGGTCCCAGAACCCACCCCCCACAAATACTGAGGAATGACTAAGACTGCTGCCATTCATTCAATATCTACTGATATTCTAAGCTCTTTTATGTCGTATTCCTCACAATGACCCCAAAAAACAAGGAATCTGAGACAGAGAAGAGACCCACTGAGATGACACAACTAGGAGGTGGCACAGCAGGGCCTTGGAGCCTGCTTTGACAGACCCCCCCCAACACCTCTGAGCCGTTGTCTTTTGTACATGGCTTTCAAGACACTGCCTTTAACCAGCAGGGGAAGCTCTGATAGAGGAAGGATAGCCCTGATGGTGTGAGGGGAGGTCTGGCTGGGGGACTGACTTGGTGGCTTTTTTGCTTTGTGCCTCTGGTCCTCTTGCTCACTCAGACAGATTTCCAGGGCAGAGAGGCCCCTGGACCCTAAAGGGTCCTAAAGGGTGTGTATGGAGACTAGGGGCTTAGCACCTTATAGGAACAAGATCAGACAGGCATGATGGGGCCTTAAATGCCAACCAGGGAGTTTGGCCGTTTTCTTTCCAGTAATAGCTGTGGATGTTTCCTCTAGGGTGGTATAGGGTGGAGGGAACAAGCAGGGGTCCAGCAGAGGGGATGTCTGCTGCACTGACCTACTGTGGCTCATCCATATGCCTGTGCTCTGAGAGTCTGAGTTAGCAACAGACAAGGACGGATAGGAACACCCTGGCCTCTGAGTGTGTGCTGAAGGGTGCTCTTTGTAAAACCATACTCTTCTAAGTTTCACCCCAGGTGACATGGGCAGGTCTTGTGGCCCTGAATCTCAGCTCTGCAGTTTCCTGGCTGTGTGCCCCTAGGAAAGTCTCTCACCCTCTCTGAACCTTGCTGTGTGGAATGGGGCTCCAGAGCACCTTTATTTCCGAGGTGTGGCGACTGCTGCCTCTGGGGGCTTGTAGAGTGGGAATCTTCCCAGACCCAGTCTGGCCTTGGTATTAGTCCTGCCGAGAGGCCTGCGGAATTGGGACCCCTGAGAGACTGGGGCTGGGCTGAGGGAGGAGGCCCCAGGGGGTTGTGGTGCCTCTGCCTTGTGGAATCCCAATAAATAAAACACCACACAGCCAGACCAGAGGGCGAAGCATGGCTCTCGTGCCCCAGATGGGATCTGCGAGTCTCCATGGTGGACTCAGAAGTCAGTTTTTCCCTTGGTGCAGTCAGACGGTTAGGGACTGGAGGCCGAGAGGGCTCCAGTTTAATCCTGGTGTTTCCCCAACGTGGGCAAGCCGCTTCCTCTGTTGTACCTGTGACATAAGCCCTGCCCCACAAGGTCATCACAAGGCTGAAATGAGATATGGGTGTGCTGTGCTGGATGCCATCCCTAGCACACAATGTTCAAAGGGTGGGTGGCATTTCTACCGGTACCTGCCCCTCCTGCCCTGAGCACACCTGTCTGAGGAGACAAGGGCTCCATGTGTGTCTTGTTCCTGCCCCAGAGAGTGAGGACGAGTACAGTGACGATGACGATGTGAGCTGGAAGGTGCGCAGGGCAGCAGCCAAGTGCATGGCCGCCCTGATCGGCTCGCGGCCCGACCTGCTGCCCGACTTCCACTGCACCCTGGCGCCCGCACTCATCCGCCGCTTCAAGGAACGGGAGGAGAACGTCAAGGCTGACATCTTTGGGGCGTATATCGTGCTGCTGCGACAGACGCGACCCCCCAGAGGGTGGCTGGAGGCCGTGGAAGAGCCCACCCAGACCGGCAGCAACCTGCACATGCTGCGGGCACAGGTGGGCATGCCTTTGCCCACTCACCTGTTCCCAACCCCTCCATTCACCAGCCCACCTTCCCATCCTTCCTGCTGGGTGTGTATTGAGCACCTATCCTGCACCTGGTCCTGCGTACAGTTCAGCTCAAGTCCCTGCACCCTGGACTGCACAGGACAGTCTCGGGCAGGTAGTCAGAAACCCTAGTTGGTCTTGAGGATGGGTGAGTAGTTGGTTTTACTCTAAGAGTAAGCAGAAACCATGGGCTGGGGTGACGGGGTCCAGTTCACTTTGGAAAACTCACTCTGGCCGCTAGGGAATGGACCACAATGGAGCAAGAGTCACAGTTGGGGACCAACAGGAAGACATGTAGCTGCCTGGGTGATGAGAGATGGTCCCTGAGGCCCAGTGGCCACCGAGGGACTGACAGGATGGTCAGGCCCGAGAAGTAGGTTTTGGGTTGAATCATCAGCTTTTACAGACGGATTCGATGTGAGCAGGACAGGCAGGTGTCACGTGACTTTCCGGTTTCTGCTAAAGCGTGAAGTGCTTGCTGTTCCCTGGGATGGGGGAAAGTAGAGCGGAGGTAACATGTAGGCTTCTGCATGTTTATGTTTGAGGTCCTCATTGGATGGCTGCAAGTAGAGCATTTTCTGTTACTATAACAAAATACCAGTGGGTACTTAATAAGAAAAGAGGCTTATTTATAAGCTCAGAGTTTTTGAGACGGAAAGTGCAAGCAGCATGGTGTGTGCTCTAGTAAGGCCTCCCGTGGCTACATTACATCATGGCCAGAAGACATAGGAGAGGGAGAGACCACATGGCAAGACTGGGAGCCCGAGGGAAGAGAAGGGCCAGGCTCTTTTATTATAATAATTCTCTCTTGAAAGCACTGGCAGAGTGGCTCAAGTGTAGAGCACCTGCCTCGCAAGCCTGATGCCCTGAGTTCAAACCCCAGTGCTGCCAAAAAAAAACAGTAGATAATTTGAAAACGAGTCCTATGAAAACTACTTAATTCCTTCCAAAGTGATCACCCCAAGGACTTCACACTGACTGCACCCCTTGAAGGTCCCACCATCTCCCAGTACTACCACCCTGGGGACCAGTCTTCCAGCACATGAACCCCTGGGGGACATAAGCCATAGCAGATGCTGAAGTTGAGCTGTCAGGCAGGCAGAAGTTGGTGAGTTGTGCTGGAGGTGTAGACGTGGGTGTCGTTAGCATCTCTGGGTTTAGAAGCCCATGGGGAGGGAATCTAGTTGAGGGAAGGAAGGGGCCCCTGGTGGTAGCGACACACACACTGCCTGGGTGACCTGGAGCCACTGTTTTCTCTCTGTACTTGTAGACATGCAAGATTCTTGCCTCTGAGCATCTGGGTGTTGTAATCAGGTAGCAGCACAGAGCACTGGGTACTGGAAAGGCATCCTGAATCCTCGGCAGCCTCTCTGGGGAGACACTTGGCAAAGCCCCGGGGTGGCAGGTACACTGGAGAGGCCCCCTGGCCAGTCCCTGACCTGCCTGCCTGCCCACAGGTACCCCTGGTGATGAAGGCCCTGCAACGGCAACTTAAGGACCGCAGCATCCGGGCCCGCCAGGGCTGCTTCACCCTTCTTACCGAGCTGGCAGTTGTCCTCCCCAGCAGCCTGGCTGAGCACATGCCCACACTGGTGTCAGGTAGGCTGGACCGCAGCTGGGTGACTTCTGTCTGGGCCTCTTCCAGAACCCAGACCTCTGCTTGAATTAAGCATCCCCCATTCCCAGGCTGACACCCCTGTGGTGACTCCCCACCACTATCAGGGTGGGCTCCAGCCTAATTCCCTGTGCTCTGTCCCCTAGCCAATCAGTAGCCTCTCAAAGCTTCTGCAGAAGAGTTTAAGGTCTGTGGCTACTCCATCCTGCTTCCGTGGAGGGCCGTGTTGGGTCAGGCTCTGTGGCTCTGTAACCCATGTTGTATCTACCCACAGGCATCGTCTTCTCCCTGGCTGACCGATCCAGCAGCTCTACCATCCGCATGGATGCCCTGGCCTTCCTGCAGAGCCTGCTGGGCACAGAACCAGCCGAGTCCTTCCATCCACACCTGCCCACCCTCCTGCCACCTGTGCTGGCCTGTGTGGCCGACCCTTTCTACAAGATTGCAGCCGAGGCCCTGCTGGTGCTCCAGGTGCTGGTGAGGGCCTTGTGGCCACTGGATAGGCCTTGGATGCTGGACCCTGAGCCGTATGTTGGGGAGATGTCCACAGCCACTCTGGCACGACTCCGTGCCACTGACCTGGACCAGGAGGTGAAGGAGCGGGCCATCTCCTGCATGGGCCACCTCGTGGGCCACCTGGGTGACCGGCTTGGGGATGATCTGGAGCCCACGCTGCTGCTCCTCCTGGAGCGCCTGAAGAATGAGATCACCCGGCTGCCTGCTGTTAAGGCACTGACGCTGGTGGCCAAGTCCCCATTACAGCTCGACCTGCGGCTCATCCTGGCCGAGGCACTGCCCATCCTGGCTTCATTCCTGCGCAAGAACCAGCGGGCACTGCGGCTGGCCACACTGGCTGCCCTGGATGCCCTGGCTCAGAGTCAGGGACTCAGCCTCCCACCACCTGCTGTGCGGGCAGTGCTGGCTGAGTTGCCAGCTCTGGTCAGCGAGAATGACATGCATGTAGCTCAGCTGGCTGTGGACTTCCTTGCCACAGTGACCCAGGCCCAGCCGACCTCTCTGGTGGAGGTCAGTGGCCCGGTACTGGCAGAGCTGCTGCAGTTGCTACAGTCGCCCCTGCTGCCTGCCGGGGTGCTGGCAGCCACAGAAGGGTTCCTACAGGCGCTGGTGGGGACCCGGCCCCCATGTGTGGACTACGCTGAGCTCATCGCCCTGCTCACTGCACCTGTTTATGACCAGACTGGGGACGGTGGGACTGGCCTGCACAAGCAGGTGTTCCACTCACTGGCCCGGTGTGTGGCTGCCCTCTCGGCTGCCTGCCCCCAAGAGGCGGCAGGCACTGCCAGCCGCCTGGTCAGCGATGCCAGGTCACCCCACTCAAGCACGGGGGTCAAGGTCCTGGCGTTCCTGTCACTGGCCGAGGTGGGCCAAGTGGCGGGGCCTGGCCCCCAGCGGGAGCTGAAGACCGTGCTCCTGGAAGCCCTGGGGTCGCCCAGTGAGGATGTGAGGGCCGCAGCTTCCTACGCACTGGGCCGCGTGGGTGCTGGCAACCTGCCCGACTTCCTGCCCTTCCTGCTGGCACAGATCGAGGCTGAGCCCCGGCGGCAGTACCTGCTGCTGATCGCACTCAGGGAGGCCCTGGGGGCCGCCCAGCCCGACAGCCTGAAGCCCTACGCCGAGGATGTCTGGGCGCTGCTCTTCCAGCACTGCGAGGGCGCTGAGGAGGGCACCCGGGGCGTGGTGGCCGAGTGCATTGGGAAGCTGGTGCTTGTGAACCCCCCGTTCCTTCTGCCCCGCTTCCGGAAGCAGCTTGCTGCAGGTAAGGCACAGACACAGGCAAAGGGGGCTTGTGCTGAGTGAGCTTCGTCACTGCATTCCAGAATGTCCATGCATCATGGCAGAAGACCCACAGTGGGAGGCTCTGTGTCCCCGAGGCTTACAGACTTTCTTCTGCAGGATCTCTGGGACAAAGGGGACAGACAGAGCCTTTGATGTGTCCCTGTTGAAAGTACAATCAGCCCTTTTGCCAAGGGTGCTGCATCCACAGTCAACCAACCCTGGATTGAAAACATTCGAAAAAAAAGTGTCTGTACTGAGCACATATGGTCTTTCTTCCTGTTGTGACACAGCCATTCTAGTAACCTAGAGCTGACTCAAAGTACAGGGGAGGGAACTGGAGGAGCTGCTCTGGTGGCAGAGCACCTGCTTAGCAAGCATGAAGCCCTGAGTTCAAGCCCCAGTGCCACAAAAAGAAAAAACACAGGAGGATGTGTTTCAGTTCTGTGCAAATAGCAGACCATTTTATAGAAGGAACTTGAGACTTGAGCATGCTTGAGTTTTGGTATCCACATGGGTCCTGAAACCAGTCCCCTGAGGATCCCAAGGAACAGCTGTACAGTATGAAAATTCATGAGGCCATTTTCGCAATCCTTGGTTTGGATGCCAGGCGAAGGCTAACCAAAGTGCTTCTCTGAGGGGCCGGGGCTGTGGAGGGGCAGCGAGCATACTCAGGCCAGCTCGTGCCAAGAGCAAGCGCCAGTGTATGCTGGGATGCACGGCATGGCCCTGGGATTTGGAGAGGGGCAGGCAGGAACCAGGAGGGCAGGTGTGTCATGTCATGTCGGGATATGTCAGGGTGTTTCAGACCTCCCAGAGAAGGCAGGCAGGTGGGTTGTGGGTTCTTACGTGTGAGAGCCTCAGTATCAAAGGCCTCCAGGCCTCCGCAGGTCCCTGATGGGAGCAGCAGGTGCACTGACTGACGTGACGCCCGTGAGAGGCTCTGTGTGTGGCACCCGAGTTGATGCTGCTCTTGATGCTGCGTGTGTCAGTGTTACAGCTAAGACCTGTTGGAGTTGCTCGGTTCCTGGTCACCCGTGGACAAGGGAGCACATTGTTACGGACGTCATCTATCACATTGCACGAGGAATCTTGAGAGACAAGAGTCTCAAGAGGAAGAGTCCTGCTTTCTCTAGGCACTGATTGATTTCTGTCCCACGTACAGAGCCAGCTACCTGGCCACATTTCCTTCTTACCACCTGCTGTTGGTAAGGTTAGGACCCAAATTAGTGGCCTGCTCCTAGCAAGTTCCTGGAACTTCTGGTGGGCTCTCCCTGCACACACCCCTCCTAGACTCCATCCTCCTCCCTGCTGTTGTTTGCCTTTGCCTTTTCTTTTTTTTCTTAGCTTTTTCTTTCTTTCTTTCTTTCTTTTTGGTGGTACTGGGGTTTGAACTGCCTTGCTAGGCAGGTGTTCTCCCACTTGAGCCACCCCCACCCAGTCAGCCCTTTTTTGTTTTTTAGTTATTTTTTGGATAGGAACTCAAGCTTTTGCTCAGGCTGTGATCCTTCTACCTACACCTCCCATGTAGCTGGAATGACAGGTGTGTGCTGTTGGGTCTGGCCCTTACTTTGTTTTGAGACAGGCTGTCCACATCTTTGTCCAGGCTGGGTTCAAACCAATATCCTCCTGCCTCTGTCTTCTGAGTATCTAGGATTACGTGTATGAGCCACTGCACCTGGCTGGCTTGTTTTTTCTTTCTTTCTTTTTCTTTTTTTTTTCTGTGGTACTGGGGTTTGAACTCAGGGCCTCACGCTTGCTAGGCAGGTGCTCTACTGCTTCAGCCACTCTGCCAGCCCCAGTGTTTTTCTAATACTCAATTCTCGAGTCATAGCAAGCAATTTAGAGTCAGGGATCTCCTGGCACGTTTCTGTCATCAGTAAGGGAAATGCACCTCCCTGCCATTCTTCAGCCTCTCCACTCAGAAAGTGAGCAGCAAAGCAGAATAAATGAGTTTTTCATCACCAAGCTGAGGGTGCTCTGAATTGTGGGAATCTCCTTGGCCTCCAGCCTGTCAGAAGCAGACTGGGGCCTTGCTGGACACTGAGGCCCAGCAGGAAGTACCCGGCCAGGAACTCAGGATTCACTGTGTGGCCTGAGGTTAATAGGAGCGTCATGATTCACTGGGAGAAACTGTGGTGTGGCCTCAAGGCGGGAGGGAAGCCTATCTGTAGCGAGCAAGCACCGTCTTGGGTACCATCACCTCAGAACTGCCAGTTCTTTCTCAGCCACAGGAGGAAGAATGCAGGGCAGGTTCAAGACTGCCAAGGAGAACGGTCGCATTAGCTTCCCCAGAGTCAGGAGGGGGTATTGCAAGTGGGGAAGGGGTGCAGTTGCAGCTGCATACTCCAGGTTGGTCTGCTTCTTGCTGAATGGCCCCCTTTTGTCCTGCAGGTCAGCCACATACCCGGAGCACGGTCATCACAGCAGTGAAGTTCCTCATCTCAGACCAGCCCCACCCCATCGACCAGCTCCTGAAGAGCTTCATCGGTGAGCACCTTTCCTGCCTTCCCCGGTGCTCATACACTTAGCCCAGGGTGGTCAGAGACCTGAAGGTCACATTGCTTCCCCTTTGGGCAGAAGGGCCCGAGTCTTACGTTGGGAGACCTGGGTTTGAATTGTTGGGCGGGCTTAGCATGCTCCTCTCCCTGCTGGGCCTCAGTGTCCTTACCATCAAGTGGGCATGGTGCCCACCTGGAAAGAGCACAGGCTACTGGGGGAAAACATGCTCTGTAAAGGCACAAGCTCCAGAAAGTGGAGGACTGGCATACCTGAGCCTGTGAGCACCCAGCCACCCCTGTCTGAGGGCCTCTGGCCAGAGGAATGCTGGGAGGAGGCCTTGCCCTCCCTTGGGTTCTACAGAGCCAGGCTGCTCCTCACCCTTCTGTGCCTGGATCCTGTGGCCTGTCATGGGACCACACCAGAATCCCAGCCCTCTTTGTCCAGGAAGGGCAGCTACGTGGAGCCCCGAGAGGGCGTGGTGCTCACCAGCTTTGGCGTTGATTCTTGGCGCTGCTATTCCCTGGCTTGTGAGTATGGGCAGGTGTCTCATCCTCAGCTATGAAGTAGCGGTGCTGATCCCACCTGCTGGGGGCTGTGCAAGACGAAAGGGTCAGTGATGTGACCACACTCTGAACTGGCGGTCATATTCTCCAGCAAGATGTGGTGGCTTCATTCCGTGTCCCAACCCAGCAGGCACACCTCCCAGCTGGACTTCCCCTGTCTTGCCTGAGCTGCACATGGCTGGCACCTCCAGAGGCCTCCACTGGGAAGTTTTGAGTTTGGCTTTGTATGTGTGAACCCTAGATCTTGAGCCCTCACTGCATCAGGTGCGAGATTATGGCCTTTAATTCAGTTCATCACCGTTGATTCTCACAGACCCCTGTGTGGTATGTGGCACTGGCCCCATTTTACAGATGAGGGAACTGATTCTCTGAGAGGGGTTTTGAACTCACGTCTTGCCAGTTTCCCATAGCTGGGTTCTCGCCAAAGAGGAGGAGGACTCTGGTAGCCAGTGTGGCACAGTAGGAAGGGCCCAGAGGTTCCCTGTGCTGGGTGGAGCCCTCTGCTGTGAGACTGCATCCTTCCTGGTGCACCTGGTTGAGTTGGACACTGCCAGGTGTCTCCACTCCATCATTATTTTACTGCAGAGGTAGATCGTGTGCCCATCTTGTGCAGAGCCCTAAATTCCATCTTCACCAAAAACTAAAATTAACAAAGCTCCTTTTCTTCCTTTGGAATGAGTCTGTTTGAGTCTATGTACAGATCCTCCTCCTCCTCCGATTTCTGCCTCCGTCCTTGTTTCTTGCCTGAATCAGCAATCACGGTTATTTGCCAAGTGGTATCTTTTTTTTGTTTGTTTGTTTTTGTTTTTGGTACTGGGGTTTGAACTCACAGCCTACATCTTGAGTCACTCCTCCAGCCCTTTTTTTTTTTTTTGAAATGATGGATTTGTTTTTTGTTTTTTTTTTTTTTGAGATAGGGTCTCGTGAACTACTTGCCCAGTCTGGCTATGAACCATGATCCTCCTGATCTCTGCCTCCTGTGTAGCTAGGATTACAGGCGTGAGCCACCAGTGCTCAGCCATTTTAATGTTCTTATTTATCAGTTAAAATTTAATTTAAAAAAATACTAGCGAAGTTCTAGGGGACTGGGGTATAGCTTGTGGTAAAGCACCTTTTTAGCATGCACAAGGCCATGGGTTCAATTCCCAGCTCCCCAGAAAAATAAAGCACTAGCAAAGTTCTCGAAAGTCTAACCTGCACACAAGGCACCCTGTGAATGGTGCTGTGACGCTCACAGCATTTCGCCCTCCTGTCTTCAGGAGCCTCAGGTGTAACATGAATGCGCTCACAGAGTCCTTCCTCTGAGCCAGGCACTCTGCCTAAAAGCCACCCCGTCCTACCATGGAGCTCCCCATTTTACAGATGAGGTCATCAAGGCTCTCCAAGGTCCCGTAGTCATGTAGGAATGTCCAGAGGGAAGCCAGGTGTCAGGGCTGCACAGCTCACAGTAACCAGGGTGCTGTGGGGAGATGGATTTGCATGTTGGCTCCGTGCCCCTGTCATTGTCCTCTGCAGGAGAGTTCATGGAGAGCCTGCAGGACCCAGACCTGAGTGTGCGCCGGGCCACTCTGGCCTTCTTCAACTCAGCTGTGCACAATAAACCCTCGCTGGTCCGGGACCTGCTGGACGACATCCTGCCCCTCCTCTACCAGGAGACCAAGATCCGCCGGGACCTCATTCGAGAGGTGCGGGGCTGAGCAGCGCTCCTGTGCTGGCCAGCTCCTTGTTAGCTGTCCCCTGGGAAATCTGGGCTGCTGCCACTTCTGGTGCCTCCCTGGCAGGGCTGGTAGCCTGATCCGACTGAACCTGTTTCTTCCCAGGGCCTCACAGGGCTGTCACAAGGAGTCAGTGAGTGAAGTCCTAGCAGGGCTCAGGACCCTCCGGGGATGTAAACCGGTGCTCACATGGCTGATCTAAAATCCAAAGTCTGATATACTCCAAATTTGGAAACTTTTTGTGTGTCAACCTGGTGCCACAAGGGGAAAGTCCCACACCTGACTTCGTGTGATGGGTCACAGTCAAAATGCAGGCCCCCTAAATATATATAAAATGATTTTTGTGCTGTGTATGTAAGGTCATGTAAAACATTAATTTTGTGTAGACTTGGGTCCCAACTCTACAGTCTCACCTTATGGATGTGCAAATACTCCAAAATCCAGAAAAATGAAATCCCAGAATGGCTGGTCCCATGCCAAGCATTGTACATAGGAACGCCCCAGCTGCAGGTGCTGGCACCCAGCAGCTGAGTCCGAATGCTAGGGCTCCGAGTTGGATCAGACATGGTTTCTGCCAGCAAGGAGCTTGCGTGGCCTTCTGGAGGAGAGAGGTATCCGCCCTGCTGCCTGCCTAGGGCAGAGAGAGGGGTTGAGAGGCACAGTGTAAAGGTGACTGGACAACTAAGCCATCACAGTGACATAACAAGGTCCCAACTGCCAGGCATCACCGAGGAAGAAGTAACTCATTAGAGGGATTGGAAAAGCTTCGCAAAAGAGGGGGGCGTTGTAGCTGTGTTTTGAGGCACGAGAAGGAGTTGACCATTAAAAGCTGAGCCTCGTGGTAAAAAGCCTGAGAGAGACCTGGGTTTGTAATTCTGGTTTGGCCTTTTTCCAGCTGTGTCCTTTGGCCAGTTCATGAACCTCTCAGCCTTAGTTTCCTTCCACATTAAAGGGGTTAGTGATAGCGCCTTCTTCCTGGGAGCATCTGTGGTGCTTGAGAAAGGTATCGTCTGTCGGGCTGAGGGTGCAGCTCAGTTGTACAGTGTGTGCTTAGCACGAGGCCCTGGCTTTGATCCCCAGCACCACACACACAAAAAGATGTCCTTTGTCAAGCATTCAGTACAGCCTGACCCTCAGACAGCGCGCTCTCAGTAGCTCTAACGGTCATGTTTATTGTTGCTGGCATCTTGAGCTGAGCAAAGGCGTGACACTTGAGTCCATGAGGCATGACCTGTGGCGGGGACACGGTGTGGAACACAGGTGTGCTGTGTAGCAGGAAGGGGGTGGTGTTCTTCCACCCTGGGCCACCTCCTCAGATGTCATTCTGTCCTGCAGGTGGAGATGGGGCCCTTCAGGCACACAGTGGACGATGGGTTGGATGTGCGGAAGGCAGCCTTTGAGTGCATGTACTCGCTGCTGGAGAGCTGCCTGGGCCAGCTGGACATCTGTGAGTTCCTGAACCATGTGGAGGATGGACTGAAGGACCACTATGACATCCGGGTAGGAGTGCACCCCTGGCCAGGCCCCTGCCCACCCTGGCAAGGGACAGCCAGAAGTGCCACAGACCCTCCTCCAGGCACCCATGACAGCAGCTTGTTATTCTCTGATAAGAAAAGGGAGCCAGCTGGGTGCTGTGGCTCACGCCTGTAATCCTAGCTATTTGGGAGGCTGAGACTGGGAAGATCTAGTTTAAGGCCATCCCGAGCAAATAGTTCACAAGACCCATCTCCAAAATAACCAGAGTAAAATGGGCTAGAGTCATGGCTCAAGCAGTAGAGTGCCAGCTTTGCAATCGTGAAGCCCTGAGTTCAAACCCCAGTCCTGCCAAAAACCAAAACAAAACAAAGAAAGAAAGAAAACGGCACCAGGTTTCAGACCCCTTCCGTGGGAGCACGCACAGGCATACTCTTAGCAGGACGGTTTGCAGTGTTTAGAGATGTCAGACCCCAGACACACTTGCCTGGGCTTATCTCACGTCACCACGTGCAGAGCCTCTGGGCCACTCCTTCATGTGCCAGAGTCTCTCCATACAGCGTTGCCCCCACAGCCCTCTGGGAACAGGGAAAGGTGGTGACTCCCTAAATGTCCATCATGGAGAACCCACACAACAGACTGATTGTGTCCCTCTGGTCACGGAGCGCCAGCAGCATCGCACAGTGAGCTGGACGGTCACCAAGATGTGCTGTTTCGATAACAGTGCTGGACCTTTGGGCCGTTTCTTTACCTGTGGGCAAAGGTGGGGCCACCAGGACCTGGAAGAGGCAGGTTTCTTCATTGCAGAAAGTGCTGAAGTCTACTCACATCGTAATAGGAGCAGTTGCCTTTTCATTGTAATGCATATGCAAAACGCAAAATTTACCATTTTAACCTTTTTCTGTTTTAATGCTGGGGATTAAACCCACCCAGGCCCTGGAGTACGCTAAGCATGTACGATGCCACAGAGCTACACGCTCAGGTTCCATTGTAACTTTCTTTTTGGGGTGGGGGTACTGGGGTTTGAACTCAGGGCCTCACACTTGCTAGGCAGGCGCTCTATCACTTGAACCATTCCGCCCACCCTGCTGTCTGCTTTGTTTGTTTTTCAGGTAGGGAGGGTCTCACCAGCTTTTGCTTGAGCTGGCCGTGGACAACGATCCTCTGTCCGATCTCCATCTCTCAAAACACTAGGATTACAAGTGTGAGCCACCACACCTGGCCCTCATGCCCTCCTCTTGACAGCTCTCCAGGGGAGCAGGCCTCCAGGGGAGCAGGCCAGGCCCGTTTGCCATGAAGCCCTCTGAAGCTAGGGGGGCAAGGGTGACGTCTCTGCGGCACTCACCGTGTCTTCAGGTCTTCACTTCTTCAGCGAGAGAGACGGGAGACTTGGCCAGTTTGAGGCACAAGTCAGGAAGCACAGGAGTTAAGAATCATAGCTCATACAGCTTTTTTTGTTTTTTCTTTGAGACAGATTCTTGCTATGTTGCCCAGGCTGGCCTCAAATTCAAGATCCTCCTACATCAGCCTCCCACATCAGCCTCCCGAGTGCGGGGACTGCAGGCGTGAGCCACCTCACATGTACCGCCTCCTGAGGTTCATGATGCTTTCTGCTGTGATGGCCCCAACACATGCTGTGGGGCTTGTCAGACAGCTGCCCTCTGTGCCGTGCATCACTTGTGGGCATTTGCCAGTGTCAGTTACCCTCCTACAGGCTAAATCCTGACCTGTAGCCATGTTTAAGTGGCTTGCAGTTTTTATTTTGTGTTGATTTTTTAATGCAGGTACCAACATTCAAAAATTAAGACATTTCACATGAAAATAGGGATTTCTTGCCAGTACAATGTGGCTTGCATCTGTAATCCTACCTACTTGGGAGGCTGAGTTCAGGAGGAGGGAGGTTCGAGGCCAGCCCCGGCAAATAGTTCACGACACCCCAGCTCCAAAACAACCAGAGTAAAATGGACTGGAGGAGTGGCTCAAGCGGTAGAGCACCCACTTTGCAAGTGTAAAGCCCTGAGTTCAAACTGGAGTCCCACTAACAAAGGAAAATAGGGATTTCTTTTGAAAACAATCCATTGGTACTGAACTATACACCCTCATTCTCAGTGTATTAGTCTGTTTTCTGCTGCTATAGCAAAGTACCTGCAGCAGGGTACGCTATTAAGAAAAAAAGGCTTAGCTGGACATGGTGGTGCACACTGCTCTGTAATACCATCTACTCAGGCGGTAGAGATCAGGAGAATCAAGGTTCAAAGTCAGCCCAGGCAAAGCATTAGCAAGACCCATCTCAACCAACAAGCCAGGAAAGGTGCCAAGCATCTGTGATCCCAGCTAAGTGGGAGGCCATAGGTAGGAGTATTTCATGGTCCAAAGCAACCCGGGTCAAAACTGGAGTCTCTATCAAAAAAATAATTAAAGCAAAAAAGGCTGGGGCATGGCTTAAGTAGTAGAGCACCTACCTAGCAAGCACAAGGCCCTGAGTTCAAACTCTGCTACCACCAAAGAAAAAAGGTTTATTTAGCTCACCTTTCTGAGTGCTAAGAGCACAGTGTTGGCATCTGCTTGGTTCTGGTGCAGGCCTGTGGCAGATGGTATCACGTGACAGGAGCGTATGCAGGAGACTTCGTATGGTGAGGCAGGAGGTTCTCAGGACCCAGGCGGGAACTAGCTAGGATCCTCCAAGGACTACATCAATCCCTTCCCAAGGCAGTGCCCCCAGTGACCTAACCACCTCCACAAGGCCTCACCTGGGTAAGGTTGGGGACCAAGTTTCCAGCATGTGAACCTTGGGAGACACCGAGAACATCTCCAGAGCCACTCGCCCACCTGGCCACGTCAGCTGGCGCTGAGTAGCTGCTGCAGGTGGAGCTTGTGCTCGAGCCCCCGTGAGCCTCTTCCCTCATGGACAGGGTCACCTGATCCCAGGGGCACCTGAACTTGCGACCTACCCCTCCCTGGTGCCTCTTCTTACCAGTCATCCACTGGACAGCAAGGCGTAGCTGGCCATGTTCATTGTCACCACTTACATGTTCTAGACAAGAAAGCTGAGGCTCAGGGAGGGAGGGAGTCCATGCTGGTTTGGACTTGGGCTCTGCTTATTCTCCCACCGTGTCACTGAGACCTCTGCCTCCTTTCTCCTGGGCAGATGCTGACCTTCATCATGCTGGCCCGGCTGGCTACCCTATGTCCTGCACCTGTCTTACAGAGGGTGGACCGGCTCATCGAGCCACTCAGGGCCACCTGCACTGCCAAGGTAAGCCCTTGTGCAGCCCCGGGCCACCTGCTGTGTTCTCTGAGCCTCGTTAGTCGTTGTTTCACCGTGCACCATGAATGTACTGCAGTGGTGGGTGAGCCGCTGCTCTCTCCTTACATGGCCCTGGGACATGCTTCTGTTCTCACCGTTGCCACATGGGAACAGAGACTCACAGGTGAAGTCATTCACCAGAGTCAGCTCCAAACCCAGCTGCTTTTTTTTTTTTCATGAAGTAAGCACCTCTTGAGGACTTGGCTTTGAAAGATACCAAGGACACTATGTGATGGGCTCACTCTTCCCAGTCTGCTCAAATCCTAGCTGGGCAGCTGGCCACAACCCTTGTGATTGATTAAGTGATCAAGGACAAGGTCACTGCTAGACTGGAGTGTCTCAAGGTCCTGAGGAGGGAGCTGCAGTGTAGGGGACAAGAGCCTGAACCAGAGAAGGGGTTCCAGTGAAGACCTGGTGAATGAAAGGCTGTGAGAGGGCAGGCACTAACCAGAAAAGGGCCAAGTATTTTTTAGGTTGGAGCTTAAAGGAGAGCAATGGTTTTCTTTTCTGTTTCCTTCCTTTTTGAGATGGGCCTTCCCCGTGTTGCCCAAGTTAACCTTAAACTCTGAGGCTCCAGCCATCCTCTCGCCTCAGCCTCCCAAAGTGCTGGGACTACAGGTGCACCCCACCATGCACAAGCAGGGATTTTCAAGTTACTTTTCCCCAAAGCTGAAATTTTATGTGGATGAAACAGATTAAAACTAGTGGCTCATTAATTGAAACTTGACCTGTAAGTTTAAATCATTAACACTTTGTATCCAATCAGTCCATGGTCCACCATTCTAACTCTACAAAGCTCTGAACACCAAAAGCGCTTGAAGAACTTACTCAGCAACAGACCTTGTTCCCTCCTTCTGTAACATAACGTACCGTGGAGGAAGTAGTGACACATTTGAGTGTAGGGTATTATGCCAGACACCGCTGAAATGTTATCTTCACAGTACTTTGTTTTGTTTTTATTCGAGAGAGGGTCTTCCTGTGTCGTAGCCCAGGCTGGCCTACCTCAGCCTCCTGAGTGCCTGGATTATAGCCATGCACCACCGTGTTTGGCCCTAGCATTATCTTTTCAACACCACCCTCCTCCCCGATCCTGGATTCCAAGCCCATCTGGCCACAGGGCTTTCAGAGAAGGGAGATGGACCTGGGTGGTCAGTTAGTCCTCAGCAATGCTTTGAAGAGAAAGCTTACTTACAGATGGGGAACAGAGCCCAAGGAAGCAGCCACCTGAAGTCACAGCTCTTGGGGGCCAGCCATTTGAACCCAGGACTGTCTGGGCCCAGCACCCAGCTCTGGCCTACTACAGCATTCTCGATGGGAATTGCTCAGCGTAGTTAAGTTGAACTTTACTCTTGAGCAGTGGAGAAACTACTGAGATGCTCTGAATTCACAGGAGATGGGAAGAAGGAAACAAACCTTGGGAGGCAATTCTGATTTTCTCTAGCTGTGTGTGCAGAGCACAGCAGCTCCCAGGGGCAGGGACCCATCTCAGTAGCGATTCAGTGTGGTCAGGGGCGCCCAGGTGGGCTGTAAGCACTGGCAGTACCCTGCGCTTACCGTCCCCGCTATCTCTGCCGGAATGGTAATTGCTGAAAGGAAAGGTAGGCGATTTGGATGGGCTGGTCACAGCCCCCCTTGGCCACACTGCAGGTGACCTGAAGGGCAGAGGCCCATCAGGGAAGCAAACAGGTGGAAAGCCAAACCAGCCCCGCTTAGGGGGAGCTTTGTGGGGATGGGTGGCTCTGTAGAGGTCTACTCCTCCCTTCCCTTGCCTCCCATTTTAGGTCAAGGCCGGCTCCGTGAAGCAGGAGTTTGAAAAGCAAGATGAACTGAAGCGCTCTGCCATGAGGGCGGTAGCTGCCCTGCTGACCATCCCCGAGGTGGGGAAAAGCCCCATCATGGCCGACTTCTCTGCCCAATCCGAACCAACCCCGAGCTTACCACCTTGTTTGAGAGCATCCAGGATTCTACTCCCGCCCCTAGCATGGATTTCATGGAGCTCAGCTAGTTTTCCCCAGCTCGGGCCCAGCCTGAGGAGCCCCTGCAAGCCCAGGCCTCACCCCCGACCCCGCAGGCTTCTTCTGCCTTTCCCTCACCTCACTGGGGGCCTCCTGCCCTGGTGGGGGTGCACAGTGCCTTCTCCAGGGACCCAAGCTCACAGGCCCTCGGTCTGGTCCAATCTGCGAGGCTGGCAACAGTGGGTCCTTTACCTCAAGATGGTCATTCAGAGAATTACGGTGAGTTTCTAGTGACCCTCACAACACCCCTCCAGTTACCCTGGTTCCTGTGTCTAAGCTGGCAAATCCACTGTGCTCATAGCCATGTGTCCCAGCTTTCTCACTCCCACTTCACATCTGAACGAGTGCCATTAGTGCTTTGGAGGGACACTGTGAAGGAGGTGTGGCTCTGGCAGAGCAGCTTACCTTCCATGTGCCAGGCCCTGGATTCCACCCCAGAACATCCCCCCAAAACACCCCAACTTAGTTCCATTCTAATTTTTCTTTGGTGCTGGGGATTGAGCCCAGGGCCTTGTACATGCTAGTCAAGCACTCTATCACTGACTACACCCCAGCTCAGAATGCTTTTTTTCTACATGACAGCAGTGAATCAGAAACTGAGAGGACACCAAGGTTTCTTTTTGTTTTTTGTTTTGCAGGGAGGATGGGGTGGGGGATTTGGACAATCTTGAACCTAATGTTTCATTTCTAACTCCTCTACCACCAGACATAACACAGGCTTGTGTCCTTCTGAAGGGTTTCAAATATGTCTAGTTTTTAGTATCAAAGATACACAAATATAAATGTCAGGCAAAGTATTTTTCTGTGACATCTGAAGTTAATAAAGAACGGATTCTAAGTTGTTACATTTTCCACAATTCTTGTT